GACACCCATGAGAACATCCCTGAAAGCATAATACGGACACCAGCAGCCTGTGTATGACCTGCTGTACGGAAAGGGCGCAATATTTCACCTGGAAAATGGCGTACCCTGACACGACCATTGGCATGATGAAACCGTGATTTATCTTCCACTTATCCATAGTTCAGTCTGGATATTTCCCAGGCCCAATTGTAGGTGTAGTTGACTATGACACTTGGTCAACAGAGGCACTCAAGTTGGATATCTGCTGTGCAGTCCTATATCTAACATATATCCTATATCTGCTGGACTGTGTGTTCCGAAACACTTGCATTTCGATCTGCATTGTATTGAGCTGTCAGCTGAGCCACACCTAGGACCGATTTTGCTGTACCAAGTAGGTAATCTCTTTTTCTTTGATAACATGTCCAACACTTTTGCTGGTTTCACTGTCATTTATCAACTTTGCATAAATACTAAAACCGGCTGATCATGCAATTTCGGAGATACTCATTCCGTGGGCCATTACAATCAAATTCCTTAAATTCCCATCACTTGAAAAAATAAGTGCAAGAATGAATCCTTATTTTCTCCAGTAGCAAATAAATACCATTCCCAGTTAATGTTATGCCCTCCACGTCATCCAGACAAATTCATTGAAAAATGTGGGGATGGTCATAATATTTTGTCAGTGTAGTGAAATAACTGATTCAGTTAAAATGTATTTTTTTATCAAAGTAAAAAGTATGTGTGTAGTAATATCAGATAAAAGCTTTTTCATCTTCTTGCATAAATATCCTTCATTCTAAAAAATGGACTTTTATTTTTCTCTTTCATGAAAATTTGTTTAAAATCATAGCCTTTCTTTACTTTAGCTGCTAAGTGCAAAGTGTAGTTCACATGTGTTAATAAAAAAATTTTAAGTATGGAGTATATTTTTATTAATTTTTATTATTTTAAATATGCAATATATGTTTACTAATGCTATATGGTGTTAATGAAAAATTAAGTTTTTTTTTTTTTTTCAGTTGAATAAAATAATTTATGAATTTTATTTATATAAATGCCAAATAATATTTTTGTGTAGTGAAAATAACTATAAAATGATATGCGAAGTTTGAGAACCGATTTATGCAAAAATTAATATCCTTGCTTGTGAAGGGGTCGTTTTAGATAGGGTCATAGAAGAGTCCTGTATAGTGTAACAAGTATTTATTAACAGGTTTAAGTTACACACGAACATTACATTTAACTTTAAGAATATTACAGAGCAAGAGTCTGATAGAACCTATCACGTGGGACGCTTGGCTTTTACTGAAGTACTTCTCTGGCTACTCACCAGAGGGCAGCCTTGTTGTCACAGTTAGTCTAACAGTTTATGTTAAAGGATTGGTTATATGCTTTATTTTAGCTAATGGAGGAGTGTATTATGTATCAAAGTACATATAAATAACTTATTGCACAATATTGCTAAAAAAAATTTCAAAATTTTGTTGCAGTTTCTTTCTGCAGTGTAGATTACAAAATAAGCTATTAAGACATAATCTCTTATTTAGTTACATTGTTGAAGTCCTGCAACTGCTGTTTCGAGAATTCCGACTAACTTGTCAATCGAAATTTTCTCGTTTTCAGTAACTTTTCTGGCACTTTCTTCACTATCGGTAGCGGTATTTTCTGGATCTAGAACCATACTACAGATTTCGCCATTCATTGATTGATTGATGATTGAGAAGCATTGTCATCACAATGGAAAACTCCTTTTATATTATCTTCATTTATTATCACTTCTCCACGTTTCTTTACAAAATCCGTTAATTGGAAAATTTCACCTTTGTTTTGGGATATCTGAAAAACCTTTAAAATTAGTGGCTATCATTATCAAATTTAGCTATCCTTCACTATACATATTTGGCATCATGAGCTTGGTGACTAACGATAAGTTGTTCCGTTAAATTTTATCTTGCATTTATCGCGCACTGAGACAATTAAATCTAAATTGTAATAATTTAGTTATTTATTATACTTATGTCTATTTCTTGCACATGCACTTGATTTATTTATCAGAGTTCTGAATAAATAAATTACCACATATACTTATTTATATGTTTATGTGAATAATAAATCAGTTATTCTTAATTCAAATAGCCCTAAATGTAATCTTTGGGTCTATGAGTATCATCAAGGAAATCTATTTTTAGCATACGGAGACACATTTTTTGGTAAATTTTTCCTCGTCAACATTTTTTAGCACATTTAACATAAATCTCTAATCATCGCCAAGCGTAAAGTCAACATAAAAGGTTACCATAATCCATTATTATTCAATTACTAACATAAAAAAATTGTTTGGGCATCTCTACACAAATAATTACTCAAGTGAAAAGAAAGTATAATAAATAATGATTCGCCAGGTTGGCGTCAGATCAACAATGTATCTATGTGAAATCTTTCGTTTTGAGATGTGTGCCAAGCAGACACGGAGCCAAATTTACTGATCATACAAATTTATGCTAAAATGATTGTTTCTTCAAGTGTCGAAGTGAAATTAAGAGTCGGGACTCTCCAGATATTTTATTATGCGTGGAGGGGGGGAGAATAAATGTGCATGCTGCGTAAAGCCTAAGAGAAAACGTTGGTGGTTTTGAGGTCTGGATTTTAGATCATTCCGGATAACGGATGTCCAGATTTCGGACTTTGTACTGTAATATCTATAACTGATATATACCAGTTGGCTATAATCAAACTTACCCTATAAACAGCATCCTACAGTGCAAGCAGGTGAACGGCATGCGACAAAATTTTGTATATGGGCTATGTACGAGATGTGCTTGCGGAATTTCGGAAAAAAATTTTAATTCCAAAATGTCCACCAGAGGGTGCCTTTTTGAGAAAAACAGGAAAGTTAACACAATAAATGACCAAAACAGAATACAGATACACTATTAACATTCATCGACTAGTTTCTGATCACCGTGTCATCGAACCACATTATGTGAATATCGCTCCACAGAATATTCCAAGGCTATGACAGTTCAACAGTCATTCTCTTGAGAAAACTGACTGCGAATGAGAGACAATGTGGCTTGTTCCTATCAAGCAGCTCCTGGGTATGGCGGATCTTGTAAGGGAAGTAGTGTATTATGTTTCTAAATACTTTTTGGAAGGTGTTGTAATAAGAAATAGCCTGTCTGTGTCAATGTAAGAATAGAATGTCTGTCGAGAAACTGCACATGTGTTACTGCCACCAAACTCTGATGTCAATGACTGTGCGTCAACAGCTGTCTTGAAGGCATTAACAAGTACCGGTGTAACATTTTTACGGCTTTGTCCAGGTCGAACTCCTAATTTCCCCGCTTCTTCAAATCTCTTAATCATGATCCAGATACCTTTAGTCCACGCCGTAGGTTCTTTCTATGACGAAATTCACGAACTGCAGCAGAAGCATTCTCCTTGTTTTTGTAAAACCCAGCTTCACCAATAACGCACGTTCAACTAAAGATGTCGTCATTGGTACAACCGGAAACATCGGCTTCTTCTTCTTCCCAAGCATGCAAATCTCAACATTTTTCTCCTACAACTGACAGCTTTTTGTGGTTTTGCATTTTATTACTCATAATTCTTGTTCTGAATTGTTAATATTGTTTCTGTATTCTGTTTTGGTCGTTTATTGTGTTAAATTTTTCATGTGTTCCCCGAAAGGGCACCATCTGGTGGACATTTTGGAACTAAAATTTATTTTTCCAAATTCCTTGAGTGCAGCTGGTCCATACACAAAATTTTGTTGCATTCCGTTCCGTTTGCTCTGTAGGATGCCGTTTATAGAGGAAGTTTAATTATAACTACTTGGTATATGTCAACAGTTTGACTTAAAATTTATGTACATACAAATTTCATGGTATTTCTAGAGTTAAGCAAGTGAGGTAATTCCTTATGTAGATAGAGCGATTTTATTTAAAATTTAAAAAAATAACATTTAAACAGGTGCAAATAAAAGCAGCAGCACAGTCTCTCAAAGGAACTGGTTCATAAAGTTATTCTTTAGGTTTATTTCTAATTTTGAAAAAATGAAAATAGAAAAGCAACCTTTAACCTCTTCGTGACGGCATGTTGCTGAACTAAAAAACTCTGCAGACGGGTGTGTCATATGTGAATCAGTCCTAAATGTCGCTAGCGGAGTGATACACTGGTGTAACACACCGTCTCCAAGCTGAATTGCGCTGAGGGGCATGCCATCTCGTAAGAGGATTAGCTGCTGATGCATATATGGTACACCTGTCCTTAAAGGGTGCAGGCACCTTATGATTTGTTTATTTTTATTCTTTATGATTTCAGCCTTCCCATATAAGCATGCAAGGCCTTTATTTAACTAAATAGTGTTTCTTTTAAGAAAGTTTCTAGTATGAATACATAAAATATTATGCAGTATTTAATAATAAATGGAACACTAAACCATTTCTTGATATTTTAGTATGCGTAAGTAATACGAGTTATTAAATAATCCAAACTAAATACTGAGTTCGACAATGTGCGTGAAAAATTTTAAATTAGTAATGTCTGGCATTATGTATTTCCCATATTCTGACTTAAAATTCCGGATACTTTTATAGTCTTCTCGGGAGGGGATGTTCAATAATGATGTTTAATGCTGTCAAAAATAATGGTCATGTTCCAGAGTCAGCAGAAGTTGTCTCTAGAAGGTTATCCAATTTTGCCTTGTTCATTATGGTAGCATATAACAGTAGTTATTTTGTATCTCTGGGATTAAAAGTAAACTAATTGCAGTAAACCATCTCTGATATGACCAGTCACAACAATTCCAAATGATTTTGCTTCTTAGTGGAGGTGGTGTAGAAAGATGCTACTTAATAATGGTATAAATTTAAGTTCTCTTGATTAGCATAAAAAGATTAGCAAGTAATTATTTAGACTTTTAACATGTACATTATAAAACTGCAAGCAATCAGTTTATTTTTTAGGTAATGAAACCAAATTTTGAATTAATGGCTTTCTCTTCTAAAAAATAGCTGCCTCAAATTAAATATGCCTCCTAGTGATAGAAGATGGTTCAAGATAAACCGAAAAGTGTTTGTGTATTCGGCAGTGCGATAGCACCCCTTGGAAGAGGTTCACTTTTACAGAGTCTTCTCTTTTTCTTCACAACCTGAAAAGCAAGTTTGTAAGAACAATCCACGAAGTCTTGCTGCACTGGAACAGAATATGTGTACAACATCATCAGCAACATCCGATGGCATGAGTCACAAGCAAGTCGCACAATGTAATTCATGAAAACTGTGCCTGAGCCATGACAATCAACATTTTCAACAGAACCTGTAGAGACAGAGGAATCCGTGTAATAGGCTTTTGTCTTTTATCTATTTGTATAATCTTTTTAAGAGTTCATGTATTTTTCAATTGCTTTTGATTCTGTTTATCTTGGTCCACCATGTATCTGGAAATGTTAGTACTCTTAAGGAGAATTTGCTTAAATAATACTGCAATCACAAAAAATATATTTAATATAATTTTGAACACTTAAATGCAATAAATGTGAATTTATTTGTGGATACAGGATTTTTAATATATGGGAGGCATAAGACCCCTTATCTTAAAATAATGCATGTGTCTATTTTACTGGAATATTATAACAAAGTTCAGAACATAACAAATCCTATGCCAATTTTTTAAAGAGAGGATGATAAAAGGTTATTTAACGCGTTGACGCCGGCCTGATCCACCGGTGGCCATGCTAGATTGTTCCGTGGGGTGGCATGCATCACTGATGGACCACGTTTGTATATAAAAAAATACGTAATATAAAATGTAATTTTATTATATTATTATACATTAACATTTCTACCTTATAATCAAACATTTAACATAAAATACATAACTTATAATTTAATCAATACATTAAATATAACAAAATATAACTACTTATGTTACCAATGCAATTTTTTAAAACATTTTAAACAAAGTTCCGGCTTATCCGGACATCTGCTACAAAAGGTCATTACTTTTTTGTTTTGTTTGTGGCGTACTGTGCATCTTTTGAGTTTGTTAAGCGCTTTACATCCTTTCCTCATCTTCCTCCCGAATCCTTGGAGAGAACTTTAAAAAAAAATTTTCTGTCTACTTACTATTTAATTCTTCACTAGGGAGATTCTCAACACTCTTCAATAGATAATCAATATTTTTTTTTTTTCTAAATTTTAAAATTTGGTAATGCTTGGTTCCTCGCTTTTTGTGGATGTGCCCGTCGACCGGGCTTATGGCCATAAAAACGATTTAAGGTTTTTCCCAATTCATGTGACTGGCCACTGTAGGTCCTATCGGCAGGCCAGACCAGGTGAGAATTTTGGAAATTTGGTCTATTCAAATCAGCTACTGAGCAATAGGGTGCAAGCATTAAACAGTATAATTTGTTTCCACACCACCATATGGGACGAACCGCTAATTGAAGCGCCGCCACACGGAACGGACTGCAAATATCTGAGCTGGTGTCAACGTGTTAAAGAAAACTGAAGGTTATCTGTTATTACTTTACTTTGAACATGAATTCTTCATAGCCAGTTTTATGAGGACAGGAAAAAAAGAGTGCTGCGAGTTTTTTTTACTAAATTATACTCAATTTACTTATTCAGATTGAAAGACCTATTATATTTCTTTAACAAAGATCTTAAGTGCACGATGTTAACTGCACTGAAAATTTATTCCAGAAATGGTTTTTTAAAAAAAAACCACAATTTTTTTTTAAGTAGGGGGACACAGCTTTTTCCTTCTTACATACACAAAGGTGCAGCAATGATACAGAAGCATATTCTTTTAAAAGTAGTTTTTAGGTTAGATTTGAAATAACCAATTTTGAAAACATGAATTTTGAGCTAGAATTATGCCTTTAAAGAACTCCATTGTGCCAAATGTCATTTTTCCTTCAAAACATGACATATGATGCATAAAAGTTATGAGGAAACTTAATAAAAGTTTAAAATATAAAACAAACTATTGAGGTAAAGGTTTTATTTTTCAATTCATAAAAATTTATTTAAGTAGATTATTCTGTTGGAAAAACTGCTGTCAAACACATCTAAAATTCACACTTTTCCTTGTCAAGATATGCACATTAAGCCTAGAAAGAAAGAAAAATTATTGCCAATGAATAATATATGCGTATTTCTAGTTTAAAAAAAAAAAAAAAAACATTTTTGGCAAGATGGTAACATTTAAATTTCATTTCTAGTCAAACCAAAGTCCCCCCATGCCTTTGTTTCAAATAATACATGACAGACATATTAGCAAAAGTCAATGGAAAAACTAAGCAGAATACTTTTGTTTCCTAAAAAATGAGAACCTCATTTCCAAATTCCCTTAAACCTGCAACTTGAAGGTAATGTCTCACCAAGGATGCTTTTCTTAGGCAATGATGATACTTCAAATAGCTAGTTTGTTAGTTCTAATATGGTTAAAATTTTTATGAAGTCTCTCTGGATCTACTGATCCTTATAAAATTCTTTAAAAAAATCTAATTTCATACAGTTTTGTGCTGGTTGAACTATGCAAACTCATAGAAATGTAGTTTCTATTGACTTCTGGATAAATTATGTCAAAGGGATGTACTATTAAAAAATGAAACAAAAATTGGTGATTATTTATTTCATACATTGTGCAACTAAAGTGCTATTTTTAAATTAGAATGAAATAACAGGAAAAATAAATGATTAAAATAATGGCCACTTTCAGTGCAGGCATCTAAAAAATAAAGCAGTAAATTGCATACTGCACAATTACAGTTACTTAGTTTTATTATTATTATTATTATTATTATTATTATTATTATTAATATTTTGGTGAATTGTGCACTTTTTGCTTTGAAAGGAATTATGTTATTCCGACTAAGGTTTGCATGCAATAGTTGTAGAATTTTTAAGTCTGTGGCCATCATTTGTTTACATTTGAAACTTCTAGTGAATTACATCAGCTAGTACATCAACTTAAGTGTCTTTTTGCCCAGTGTGACCAAAGGTTAACTTTTGGTGTTTTAGGTTTTTATGTATTGTACAAATTTTAATGAGACTTGTTGCACAGTGAGAATTGAATTGATTGAATTAGAAATATATCTAATGAAATTCGAGGAAATAATTCATAGCGGGAAAAAAATTTGTATAATAGTTAAATAATTAATAGGCCATACAAGGAAGTCATGGTATCCACATCAAATGTTTTTATTTACTAAATTTAGTTAACAAATTTAGACTTATATATGTAACATCTGTTATAAAAAATTGATTTGTTTGATTGATCAGAACAGAAATATAATATTAATGCAATTTAATACATACTTTTTCTTTTCCAAACAATGCCCGTTTTGCAGCCTGTACAGTGTTTTTTACTAACATAATAACAGTCATAGGTCCCACACCACCTGGCACTGGAGTTATATATGATGCTACCTCTTTTACTTCGTCAAAATCTACATCCCCAACTAGTCTTGAACCTGATTTCTTAGTTTCGTCTGGTAGAGAAAATTTATGTGAAATTAATCTGTGAAGTCGAATACAAAATTTGTGTTAAAAACATTGATAAAAAGTTAATATTTTTATTATTTTACCTGGAATACTTGATATTCCACAATCTATAACAACTGCACCAGGTTTGACCCAATCTTTTTTTACCAGTTGGGCTTGGCCTACAGCTGCAACTATTATATCAGCTTCCCTAACCTATAAAAATCTTGCTTTAAATATATTAAAAAAGAATTAATTTCTTTTTTAAAAAATTTAATTTATCTGAAAATTAATTATTACCACATCTTTGAGATTTTCAGTTCTTGAATGGCATACTGTAACTGTAGCATGATGCCAAATTAGAAGTTGTGCCATGGGCATGCCTACAATTTTGCTTCGGCCAATGACAACTGCTCGCTTCCCTTTTATGGAGACACCTTAAAAAGAAAAAAACACATCAAACATTATGACCACCTATGACCAAAACATTATGACCACCTAGTCAACGTGTTGTGCTACCTCTGGCCTGCAATACAACTGCAACTCACCTCAATGTGGATGCCACAAGTTCTTGGTAAACACAGAAAGGACAGGTTGCACTAAATGTAGTATCATTTAGGTTAATGCTAATTATTATGTTATTTTAGCCTAATTATAGGAGCCATGTTATTTTAACCTAAATTATAGGCACTCCAAACAAGCTTTAACATGGTCTAAGCAGTGATCTCGGAAAGTGAAGAAATTTCATGCCCAAATACATGGTGTTTGGGCTGTGAGCTGCCACTCCATGACATCCCAAATGTGCTCGGGTTAAGATCCGGCGAGTTAGGTGGCCAGGACATTAATTAGAATTCATCACTATGCTCCTCGAACCTTTCCAACGCAATTCGAGCCTTGTAACTTGGGACGTTGTCCTGTTGGAAGGTCCTATTCCCAGTTGGGAAAACAGAGCAGCAACTAGTGTATGAACTACTGTAATGAGCAACTGTTTGCCTGGAAGATGGCATGCGCTGACACAACCATTGAAGTGTTGAATGAGAAATCGCAATTCATTCAACCAGGCAACTGTCTTCCATGGTCCAGTCTAGAAGTTCACGGGCCCACTGTAGAACAGAGGTCAACAGAGGCACATGAGTGTGATGTCTGCTGCATGGTCCCATATCCAACAGTGCCTGCTGAACTGTGTGTGCCGAAAGGCTTGGACTTGCACTGTACTGAGCTGTCAGCTGAGCCACTGTCTGGGACCAAGTGGGGACAGTCTCCAACATCCTTTTTCTTTGATGACATATAAACGTTCAACACCTTGGCATCTGCTGGTTTCACCATCATTTATCCACTTTGCATAAATACTAGCAACCTACCAGTTGTGCAGTTTCAGAGATACTTGTCTTTAGGCCATTACAACCTGCCCTCTATTAAATTTAAATCAGAAGCCTTTCCCATCACTTGCAAAGTTAAGTGCAAGAATGATTTCTTACTTCCTCCTGCAGCAGTTAAATACCATTCCCACTTAATCATGTGCCCTCCACGTCATCCGTATGATTTCATCAAAAAATGTGGGGATGGTCTTTGTGTTTCAACTCATCAGTGTATATATATAGGAGTTCCTTCATTTTTGAAACTCTTAGTTTTACACACAAACTTCCTATTGAAAAATATTTTAAATTATGTAAAATATTCATATTTCAGCAATTTTAAATTAAAGAAATCTTTTTTTTTTAAATTATAAAATCTAACTTTTTATATGGTGTCCCAGTCTCTGTACTTATATTTAGGAAAAATTTATAATCAGTATGAAAAGCAAAATACAGTCAAAAGTCATTAATTCGGACACCCATAATCCGGACCTCAAAGCTACAAACTTTCTGCGCATGCATCGCGTTGACGCATGCGCGTAAGACCTTTACGGCTGCAAATATGCTTGTGCGCGTGCGCAAAATACGTTTACGAATGCGCGTTTAATGTATAACGGACGGTAAAGCTAAGCTAAAATTATCTAATTCAGTTAATGTTGCAGATCGCGTTGTTCCTTAATCTTCGAATTGGATTCGACTTATTATTTTTTGCAGACTATTAGAGCAATTTTATAAAAGTAAGCTTGAACTTTCGATTATGTCAAATGGAATTTCTGATACATATTTACTAATATGTAAAGGATCTACAAAGTGAAAGTATGTTTCGAAGTCCATTAAACAAAAAGTGGAATTGCTGCAAAAAATGGATAAAGGCATATCCTTTGTTTATCTAAACTTTAACGTTTGTTTATCTAAACTTTGTTTATCTTTAACACCGTGGCACGCAATGAATTGAAAGTTAATCTGTCAGCACTATCCTTACCTTCAGGGAAGATGTTTTTATTTTATTTGGCTTATAATTCCTTACTAAATGTAATATTTCATCTCGATGTACTCCGTCTTCGATATGATTTAAATCAAATTCCTCGTCATTATAATTCGCTTCTGATAGCGAAGAAAGTAATAGAGGTTATTGAAAACGAAAAAATTTCGATTGACAAATTAGTCGGTATTCTCGATCATAGGACTTGAACAGCGGAACTTTGTAACTGAACAAGAAATTATGTCTGTTTATAGAATTAAAGAGAACGTTTCAACTTACATTGAAAGAAATGTTTAATAAAGTAAATAAATATTAAGCTTTTTTTTTTTTTCCTGTAAATTTTGATACCCTTTAAATCATAATTGTTCTTTATTTCATAAATTACGGTTTCATATTTTTAATTTTAGAATTTCTGCATGGCATCTTACCAGATTTAAACTGATGATCTATAATCCGGAATCGCCCGACGAGTCCGGATTAACGACTTTTAACTGTATTTCATTTCTATAAAACAAAAACTGATAGATATATTTAATTTCAAACTTTGAGATAACTTATTTAAAGAAATATTTATCTTATTTGGGATAAAGATTATTTAATAAATACGAGGGCCATCCAGGAAGTAGATTACGTTTCCGTCTGTGTCCGCTAGGGGCGGGGCTAGCGCGGCCATCTTGGGGTCAGAGCGTTGCGCAGCTCAGTCTGCATCTAGCCGTGCTAGTGAGAGGTTCGTGCTGTGCTCCGTTCAGATACTGTGACGTTTGTTTGAATGTCTGCGTTAATTGAAAATCCCGCGAGCTGCGAGGTGCGCTCAGTAATAAGGTTTCTGACTGCAAAAAACTGTAAACCGATAGAAATCTATCGGCAGCTTCGTGAAGTGTATGGGGACAACATTATCACTGAAGGTGGAGTGCGTCAGTGGGTCATAAGATTTCAAAATGGCCAAACCAATGTTCACGATGAAGATCGAAGTGGGAGACCCAGCATAGTGACCGCCGAACTTCTCGAAAAAGTCGATGTCCGTGAAAATCGAAATTTCACAATAATGGAACTTTCTTTGAGTTTTCCACAAATTTCGCGAAGTTTGTTGCACGAAATCATCAGCGAAAAGCTTGGTTACCACAAGTTTTGTGCAAGATGGAAGGCAAGAAGAGGTAACGAAGTGGTTGAAGGCGCAGGCGGCCGAATTTTTCGACGAAGGAATTTCCAAGCTCGTACATCGCTACGATAAATGCCTTAATTTGTATGGTGACTATGTAGAAAAGTAGTATTTGAGTGTGGCTTTCATCTGTATATAATAAAATTTGTTTCCTATACTTTGTTTATTTTTTTATTCCAAAACGTAATCTACTTTCTGGATAGCCCTCGTAAATTAGAATAACTCAAGGTTCTTTTTTCTCTTAAATGTCATTCAGCAATATTTTTTGCGATTCGATAGTTTCATTGCTAAAATTCTTTAGTTTATAATTTATTTTTTTTTTTACAACTGAGACGATGACAGAATTTTTATATAAATAATCTATAAGCTTTAAAACATTAAAAATATATTATCAGTGCTCGTGAAGTTTTATTACTTTATATATTATATCTCGTGAAGTTTTATTACTTTAGAATCATAAACACTAATAATCATACAAAAATTCATTAAACTAGAAATATATTTAATGGAAAAATGTATACTGATCAACAACACTTTCCAGGATAACCTGCTGATCATTTAATTTATTAGTACCAGCAATTTTCATCATACATGTGTCGTTCCAAAGCTATTTATGGTTTTTCAATTTGCACAAGAAAAAAAAGGCATTGCTATTCAAAAATTTTTGCACTGTAACTGTAATCATGAGAGCTTTATTATTTTAAATCATCACTATCCCCAGAGCATACCTTCAAATAACAAAATCTGAAATCAAATTACTCGCTAATTAGCAAGTAGTTTGAAAAAAATTCTTTTTGGATTCTTTTTGGAACCTTTTTGGATTTTGATATGTAATGAGAATGAACTGTTGTTGGTATCAGTTATTCACCTGAAAAATCCCGGATGTTTACTGGTTACTGTTCCAGATTTTTACTTAAATTCAGCCACAGGTCAAAAAAACTTTAACCTCTTCCTATGTTAAAGGCCTCCTATTTGTGTTAAGTGTTGAATTATAACATGGTCCTAAGTACATTATTGATTTATTTCTAGCTTAAATATAAATTATTAATATTATTAAACAAAGTAAAAAGAAGTTTAAAACTTAACCCAATAGAGTTCTGACAGCAGCAAAAAGTGTTGAGTAATTAATACGTTTAAAATCTATCCCATATTCATGATGTGTGAATCATATATTCCATCTCCAGAATTTTTTATCCAATAAATAAATTATGTTGAATTTGGCCGTGTATGTCTGCAAGTCCATCATTCCATCTATGCATTAAAGGCCTCTCCAAATAACACAGACAATAATATATATATATATATACAGTCAAAAGTCTTTAATCCGGACTCGTCGGGACTTCGGCGATTCTGGATTATCGATTTCTCCGCATTATAGATCATCACTTTAAATCTAGTAAGATGGCATGCAGAAATTATAAAATTAAAAATATGAAACCGTAAGTTATGAAATACAGAACAATTATGATCGAAAGGGTATCAAAATTTACAAAAAAAAAAAAGCTTAATATTTATTTGCTTATTTTATTAAACATTTCTTTCAAAGCGTGCATGCGTAAAGCATACATTACGTACGCATAGTCGAAATTAGAAAATTGTAACCAGAAAACTATTTGATGTGTATTCATGATATTTATAATGAATTTGATTTAAATCATATCAAAGACAGAGTACATCGAGATGAAATACTACATTTAGTAATGAACTATAAAGCCAAATAAAATAAAAACATCTGCCCTGAAGATAAGGATACTGCTGACAGATCAATTTCCAGTTCATTGCGTGCCGCGACGTTCCCCTCCCCCACAGAGCAGTGTGAAATTGATAAACAGATTTCGTAATGGTTAGAGAAACAAAGGATATGCCTTTATCCATTTTTTGCAGCAATTCCACTTTTTGTTTGATGGACATCGAAACATTCTTTCGTTTTGTAGATCCTTTCGCCATATCCAGCATCGGAAATTCTATTTGACATAATCAAAAGTTCAAGCTTACTTTTATAAAATTGCTCTAACAGTCTGTAAAAAATAATAAGCCGGATCCAATTGGAAGATTAAGGAACGACGCAATCTGCAACATTAACTGAAATAGATTAGATAATTTTAGCTTAGCTTATACCGTGCGTTATACATTAAACGTGCATGCGTAAATGTATTATGTGCATGCATACACGCATATGCACATGCATGAAGGTATTACACGCATGTGCAGAAAGTTTGTAACTTTGAGGTCTGGATTATAGATCATTCCGGATTATGGGCATCTGGATTAACGACTTTTGACTGTATATGTTATGGTAAAATCCTGACGTCTGGCAAATACTAGGTTTTACTGGTAAAACCCAACTTTTACCAAAGTAGCTTGGTAAAAGTCTGAAGTATGCTTAAATAAAAGCTGTTAGCTTGCTTATATTTTACAGATTCAGGCAAAATGTTGTAAAAATTTTTCCGCATAACATCATTTCTTTTCAGCAAAATAAAAAATGCAAAATATATTCAAATGGGAACAAACTGCTTCTATCTTAGATTGTAGCTGCTTACACTTGTTGGAATTCGCTCAGAGCTAGACTGCAAATGGCACAATTAGGATGCGCAAGGACAGAAAAGTGTGATGTAATTTGCGTGCTTATTCAAGTTCGATTTAAATCCCTTGCTTCTGACTTTTACCGGTAGGCGATGGTAACTCCTAGGTTTTACTGCAAAGCCTTGGTAAAAAGCCAAAATGGAAACACTTCGGACTTTTACCAAGCCATTCTGGTAAAACCTGGGATCTACCAGACTTTAAGAGACTTTGAGCTTTTACTCTAACATATATATACATATGTGTAGACACACACGTTAAAATTTTATATTAACTATTTTAGCCCTTTAATTATAAACTGTTCAATGAAATGAATACTTGCATTAAAATTTATTTCAAAATGACTTCTATACAAATTATTACAATATAACTGATCTTATCAAAACATGTTGGGAAACAAAATACTTTTGTAGAAATGTGTCCAATACTAATAAAATTATTTTTGCTAATAAATTATTCAAAAAGTAGCGTACCAGATCTCTTTATTAGTTCTAAGCATCCCATTGGTGTGCAGGCTATAAAGAAACCTTCTAACTGACCATGAGAAAGTTTTCCTGCATTTACATCATGCAACCTATTAAAAGTATCAAACATTAAGTATATAGCAGCAATAAAAACTACAGATTAAATGGATGGTAATATTGCATTTTTTCATAGCTAATTCTCTCTATACGTGAAACAAATTCAATTTCCTATACTAAATATTCCAGGCACTTGCTTCCTCATACAAATTATTTAATCGTTAGTGCATATAAATATTTTTTTCAATGTTAAATCCTCCTACTGATTAAGTTAAAAGATACATAGCTATTTTTTTCAAAGATGAAAGCCAGGCTGCTGAGTCAGAACATCATACTTATGAAAAAGAAAAAAATCGAACTTCCAGGTAGGTGTGGAATAACCACATGTGTTCAATGCAAAGTGTCAACACTTGTACTTTGCTGTAATGTTTTACTATGAAATGTCAAAAAATGAATGTCGTATTTTCTAATGCACGGTCTGTGCATTGCAAAGTCTTCTATGATGTACATATTGTTAAATATTCACATTGATATGCAACCCTAAGCAGCCAAAAAGTTGAAATCTTTTTCCATAATATAAGAATTTTAAAATGTGATCACTAAAATATTGGAACTGTATTTTTCAAGCATTAAGAAGTTTCCATCCCATTTGAGTGGGATCTCCTTTGATCATAGCTGATTTATTGTAATCTTTTATACAAAAATTTTTATCTTTCCTTTTTTTCTAAAATAAGTTTCATTTCCTCCAAATTTGTACATAGATTTTTGGGTGCAAAAATCAAAAGAAATATCTTAACTGACAGGCAGTTCACTCTTTCTACATTAACCCTCTGAGCAATGGTGGGTTTTGGAATCTGTCATGAAAACCTGTATTTAAACAGCCTTTATTAGTTAAATTTGCATATTTACATATTTTAATCTCTATTTTCATAAACTTACATTCATTAAGATGACATTTGTATTATTAATGAAAGCAAAATGTCTTAAATTATAAGCTAATATATGCCAAGTGACAAAAAATCTCATAATTGGATAAAGGCGGTCATGGCGCTCAGAGTGTTAACTCAGTGCGTGTGTGTGTGATTATGACAAAGCCTCGAGGGCTATCTGCCTAAGAGGAGGGATGCCTTCGTGGAGGACTTTCTAAGGCTAATTCTCGTATACACGTTACACATGGGGAAAACCACGAAAACGCCCATGCAGCCAGCCCGTTCGCGGGATTCGAACCTCGGACTGAACTACCAGTGTTCAGCGACTTTACCGCTCGGCTGCTGGTGGGCCCGAGTGTTAACTCAGTGTAATATCATACAAGAGACTACGGTTACATCTCTCTAGAGCCTTGACAGCAAATTTTTCTAAATTTCTTTTAACCCTTTCCAGCATGCTACCTTTTAAAGTTGGAATTTCAACAAAAAACATAGGAGGTAGTCTAATCAGGCTTAGTTGTAAAAATAGCACTTAACATTTTAATTCTGTGAGTGTGCCCGAAGCGGTCTCATTGAATGAAAAGAGTGCTGAAGGGAGCATTGCTGAGAAGCACGTAATAGAGTAGAAGATTTTGCCTACGATTTATTTTAAAATACTACATTCTGATTACTAGAGTAAATTTAACATTAACGAGGTGCGCCACAGGGAAGCTTGCTACTGTACGCACCCGCAAAAAAAGCTCTTCTTGGTTATATGATGATTACATGTGTCTAAATTAAAAAGAAAAAAAAAAAAAAAAAAAAAAAAAAAACAGTAACTTGGCTATATAATGATTACATATGTCTAAATAAATTTTAAAAAAACGTAACTTGGTTATTACATTTCTTATTATTGATATGATATTGACATTTCATATTTACACTTTCGTCTACATTTTTCATGGTGGTACTTTTTGAAGCAAGTAACATCATCTTTCAAAAAGCACAACCCAACATTGCATCTTTTGCACATGTATTGAAATCTGTATCAGATTCACTTTCTAAAGGCAATTCGTTTAGGACTTTCAGTGCTTCAGAACAATCAGTCAGCCCTCTTCGATTGATTTGCAAAATAATTAAAAATCAGAAAAATAAACTAATATTATATCTACAATTAAGAAAATATGAACAATAAAATTAAATAAACATCGACAACCCCCAAAACTATCAAAACATAAAGAAACAAAAGCTAACAAAACAGAAAGAAAAAAAAAAAAAAAAAAAGAAAACCACTCTAGTGAAAAACAAAAGAGCTAACCGATAAAAGAACCCCAATAATTCTTAGTTAATAATTACTTCAGAAAAACACCCCAACAATTTTTTAGTTGATAACCAAACCTCCCTTCTAGACGTATATTTTTAGGTCTGGTTTGGTAATTTTTAGGTGTGCCCAGACTGGGTTTGGAGCTAAGAAAATCATCAGTTGATGCATAAACACATTCAAGATTCTCTTGGAATAAGTCTGAAATATAGCCTAATGATTAACAGGATTTTGGGCTCTTCTTTGTTGAAACTAATTAATCTTCAGTGTGTTTTCAGACATGTTACAAATCCTTTTTGTAAAACTCTGAGTTATAGATCTTTTGTCAAGATGATGCATCACAGCAGCATCTGATTTTGTGAAATATGAGTGACAGGAGTTGAATTGCCGATGTTCAGAAGAGTAGATTGGCAGAAATGGATCTCTCATGGACCCTCTTATATAAAATCCTGATTTTATCCCACTAGATTACTTTCAATCAATTTCTATGATTTACACTGAAGGAAACAACTGATAATCATGACCCATCTTAAAGAGAAAATTATCAAGCAATAACAAGCATTATATATTCCTGTCACCACATAGACCAAAATTGAATGCTGCTATGACATCTGCCATGTTGTTACTGGTGCATGTACTGAAACTCAATTTTGTATACGATCTTTTTGAAAAACTAAATTTAATAAAGCCTTTTTCAATCCATTTCCCATAATACATACAGTTAATGTAGAAACAATGATTCTTTAAAACTTTTAACTCATGGCTAATATATATTGTTTGAATTCTAGTGATATACACTCATGTCCATAAATTAAGGATAATGCCAAATCAGGCAAAGGAAGAGTTAGAAGCAACACAAATTTAACTTATTTGTAAAGCTTATTTATTAAACAAAAGGTAAAGAGCAAAAAAAGATGCTATATGTTTGATATTATTAAAAAAATTAGCGATTTTTTCTCCCTGGAGCAAATTACAAAAAAACTTATTTACAAAAAACCAATATTACATGGTTGGTATGATTGTTAATACATTTTATGTCACCCAGACGATGCAATACAGTCCGTACAACGCCTAGGCATGCTGAGTATCAAATTATTGATCTGATCTTGGGGGGGATATTACACCACTCAAAATGCAATGCTCTTCGAAGTTCCGGTACACATGTAGGAGGAGGTTGACGGGCTGCAGCTCGTCGGCCAAGCATGTCCCACATGTGCTCTACTGGATTCAAGCCCGGTGAGAATGCTGGCTAGTCCATACGGGTGATATCCTCCGATTGAAGGCATTCGCTTGCGATGTTTGCACGGTGAGAACGGGCGTTGTCATCCATAAACACAAATTGCACCCATGGCACCCCGAAACAAACGTACATGGTGTTCCAGAATGACGTCCCGATAGATTTGGCTTGTCATGGTTCCAATTTGAATATGCAGGTCAGTTCTGGAACCCAGAATAATTCCACTCCAAACCAGCACTCCTGCACCACCGTAATGGTGTTATTCAATGATGTTTTCTTGGCGGTAACGGGTACCTGAAGCTCTCCATATGAAAGTCCGGCGAGAATCAGACTGCAAGCTAAACCTGGACTCGTCGGAAAACATCACACAAGCCCACTGTTGTGGTGTCCACAATGCATGCTCTCTATTCCAGGCTAACCGCAGGCGACAGTGAGTTGCAGTAAGTGGAACGCATCTGACAGGTCTACGAGCATATAGACCAAACTGCCCTAAGTGTCTGTACACGGTGTGCCTTGAAACTGTCGTACCAGTGGCTGAAGAGAGCTGATGAGACAGGTCTGAGGCTGTGCTCCGCCTGTTTCTTTTGGCAGTAACTGCCAAATACCGGTCCTCATTCGGCGTTGTAACTCTGAAGCGATCTGTGCTGTAACGTCTACTCACATTACCATCATCTTGGAATCGTTGCCAAAGCCTGGATATGACACTCTGGGCAATTCCAAGTTCGTCTGATACTTCCAGTTGGGTACGCCCACATTCCAGACGGTCGATAATTCTACCACGTAAAAAATCATCCAAATGCGTCCTTTGTGTCATAACTATTTGGTTATTGCACTGAAATGCTTATAAAGCGCCTGCGAACAATTTTACTTCTTTGCCTGTATTTCTTATATATCACTCTCTTACACTCTTGTCATTGTGACGTACCATCGGTGTCATCTGGTTACTTCCTGAAATTTGCATGTGATTCCTGAAGATGTGTGTAGTGATTTTACAGATGATATATTTATTTTAGAGTTCGATTTCCGCGCGACTCCGAATTATCCTTAATTTATGGACATGAGTGTAATTTATTCCTTCCGTACGTTTTCATCACCAATTATTGGATTGTTTCTACCCAAAAAATACATTGAACACCCCTTCCCCCACAAAGAGACACATAGACACACTTTGCTACTGTGAACAAATATTGCTATTTATTAAAATAATCATCTTCTTTATTAATATTCAGGTTCAAAGCTTTTGTCTTAACTGCTGCATGGCATGGAAGTAACTAGATATTTTCCAGTAGGAATAAAGATAGGTGATGTTTTATTTTATTTTAAGTACCATACGTTTTCAATTGGATTTAGACCCAGTAATTGACATAGCATTCTCTAAAATACTCACATATGCCTCTCTGATCTCATGACCAATAAGGTATCAACTGTAAGGGCCACATACCATAAAAAGCAGCGCAACAACATTAAATGTTGTTGTTGTGACTTGCCTCACTTGTCTGACAGTAACATCAGAACGAGCCCACCAAATTCATCGTGGCAAGGAGTACAAGACTGCACCTGTTGTTCACAACAGTCTTTAGCACCATACAT